AGCTATTTTCTGGAGAGGAGACCAACAATTCTTTACTAGAGTTTACTATGTTTAGGTCAGTGTTCTTCTAGGCTACATGTGTGGTACAGTGTTGGTATTAATGCTAAACCCCATGATTCACACACGGTTATTAGAACTGTCATGGAATATTAGCACTAGTGTGTGTGTGTGATGCAATGGCGGTCTCCAGTCCTTCCAACATGCAAAGCCCAATGAACTTGCCACCTCAGGGCTTCAGGGAATCATTAATTTCAACACATGCTGAAACTCATGTCTAGGTGATTGACAAAATTGGTACAACGTGATATTGTGTACCTATAACTGCACTTACAAGTGCCATAGATTGCAAGACCCTACAACACAATTTTCAACCAGCCCTTGTCACACATTGTCTTGCTGCATATCAATAAGCTCCTATGCTAATTCTTCCCAGAGCCCTTGAGCTATAAGTTTTGTAATCTAGTCATTAGTGGAATTACCTACTGTATGGCTTTGCAGCATGAGAGCTGAAATGGCTTTTGTTTCATCGCAGTGTCCAAGATCATGAGATTCAATGAAAAAAAAAAACATGATCTAATGGTGTGGCAAGTTAGTTCACCTGCATTTCTATGTTGTACTCCCAGACAACGCTGTACAAGCATTTCATACACGTGCAATATTGTGATCCAATGTGCAATCATTCCTTCTAGATTTGTAAAATTCCTGAGCTACTTCAATGATGCAAGATTCACCATGAGAGTTATTTTTTTGCCATACAAGTAATGTTGACATTACTTAATGCATACTACAACTCCAAGCTGTTCTTTCTTTATCATAGAGTATCTGTGTTTAGAAGTTTTAAGCACATATCTAATATGTGCTACCACTCATTCAGCCCCATCCTGCAACATCACTAACCCAATTCAACTATCATTGGCATCTAACAGAAATGTACAACCTTGTTATGGATATGTCAGCTAAAGCATGATTGACAGACAGGAATGTATACTTGTACTCCTCAGTCCATCTGAAATAAATATCAGCTTTAGTAAGAGTGGACTGGTGTGGTAATTTTGGATAAATTTGGCATGAAACATCAATAATATGATGTAACACAAGGAAACTTGATGAGTTGGGGCCAGTCTTATACCACTGAAATATTCGTATGGTCCATCGAGATACCTTCTCTACTTATAATATGACCAAGAAATTCTACTTGTTTGTGTGAATCAGGACATATTTCCTGGGTTTCAACATTAATTTAGCCATTCGTATCTGCTGCAAACTATGGACAGGTTAACAACATCAGACTAGAATGTTTGGCCAAATACCAAGACATCAAACCATATACTAGCTATCTCTTCCATTGCAATAATTTTAGCATAATATCCATTGGCTTCTTGAAAGTGGCCAGAGCTTTCCACGGGTGAAATAACATGAATCAAAACTCAAATATACCATCTCATCATCCTATTTGACTTGTCAGTATCAAGAGGCCAGGTATAGAGTGAATAACCTTTGGACACCTTCCAATATGTTCAGACATTCATCCATTTGCAGCAACAGAAAGGTATCAATGCACATTAGAGCATTGTCCTTGCATAAATCAACAAATAACCTACTCATGCCATCCTTTGTTCTGGACAATAACCACTGAAGGTGATTACACACTGTCGGAAGGCTGTATGATCCTTCCTATAACATTTGTTGTGTCTCTGCACTGGCTACATTCCTAATGCTTCATGGAAGCCTGAGTGGTGGTTGTTTAATTGAAGTGATCGTAGTTCTACTAGTTGGCTTTCAGATCCCACAAATACATCAGTATACTTAGCCAGCTGGTTACTGAGACTTTGTGTTGTCTAGCAAACTCTGTAGCACTGCTACATAGTATTTGTTCTATTGAACATTCCACTGGGGAAATAGATTAGCAATCATTCATAATTGCAAAGAATCACTGGGACTTCGTCCTCGATGGACAGAGTACTGTCCATGCTACTGCTGCCTGCTTTCTGGATCAAAAACAGTATGTTTCTCATGTTAGCTTGACACCATATTACACAGTTCTAATGCACCAACCTTGTTCACAGCAAAACACAACCAAATACTTGCATACACAGATGTTCTTGCTCCCTCTGCAAAGTACACATGAGTGGTCTACTGTTCCTAGATCAGTTCTGACTGGCAATGGATGGATTTCCTTCAACTATGTACTGGCCAAGCTCTATGGGATGCACAAAAATGGCTGATGCTGTCAGTTTCTTACTTTTCTACAATTTGTCTGAAGTGACCACAACAAACCTTATTACCACAAGTTCTCATGATCTACCGATGCCATTGCTGGGTAGGCTTTAACATACAAATGATACATATAATTTGTAAAGGCATCCATGTTTTCTGAGTGACCCTCCGACGAACCTTGAACTTGTCCCAGTGGATGTCTCGGTTTTTCACTGGGTCAAACTATCAGCACAGCGTCCTAGTCTCCAAACTGTGCTTCTATGAGGTACTCAATAGCATCAAGGGCTGGACCATTTAAACTCAAGACCAGGCAGTGAATCGCCTGTTTCCAAGACCGTTGATTACAGGCAATGACTCGTCTTGAATGAATTAAGAAAAAATGCCACGTCCTCCTTGGCTGCCCCTTTAATGTGATTTGCTTCATTTCCACCATATGTGAGTGGCCTTAGCATAAATCTCTCCCTAGTGAGAGCGTGAAATACTAATACGTTAGTATGTGTTGTCTTAAGAAACCATTCTGACATGAATAGGCACTTATCAACAGCTTAAATAGGATTATGTTTAATGTATACAGAAATAAGATTCATAAAATCTCGTTTCAATAATTCTTTTGAGGTGTCATTATAGAAGACTCCATCACAAGACAAATTTGTAACATCTTGATGGGTAGATGTCTCGTATTATCAAATACATTTAGGTTTAGAATATTTACATCTCCCATTATCCAGTCCTGGATGCCAGTAGGTTCAGAAGGGTAGTTACTCCTCCAACTAGCTACTGATACTCGAAGAAATCTGTCTTGGTTCACCACTAAATAGACTAGAAGATAATTGACGTCATGTTTGAATAGTACTTCTAGTGTAATTAAACGTGTGCCATAAGAATTCGATGTTTTAATCAGGTGCTCTAATTTTAACAGTTGTCTTTAGGGTTGGGGATGCAAGACAGCTTAGTAGCTATGACATCTGTTTATCCTCGAGTATGTATCTATAGTCAGCTTTGAATTACCTTGACTTGGGTCATCCTCGGCTATCTATGTATATAATGAAAACAATCAATTTAAAGCTTAGATTTTTTAATTAATCAATATCAATCGTGAAGGGATATGATTGGCTAATCTCCAACGATTCATTTGTTTTGAACATCTCTTAGATTTGACGATAGATAAAACATTCATTCTTCAAATTCTATAATGGCCATGTGTAATGTAGTTGTTGGTGTGCCAGACTGTAACTCAAGTTCCTACACTTTAGGGGCCTTAGGTGCGCTATAAGAGTGACAGTCAAATCTTACTATTCGCTCACACAAGAGTAGTCTAAGAGCTGACAGTAAGAGCTGTTAACTAGCTACTTTCCCTCGAGTCTATTAGTTCTAAATTAGGGACTTCTATTGTCTGACCGATTGACTTCTATTGTACGATCTGCAAAGTGTGGAAGCGCGAATTTGGAGCAATAGGCTGCGAACTTTGAATCCTCAAATTTCCAGTCCGAGCACGTTACCAACTAGGCCACACCCATGGTAAATATATGTGTTTTATAATTCTAATATAACATTTTGTTATTACTTGATGAGATGGGCTAATAATTTGGGTGTTATTTCGAATGCTCCAAAAGTATCATTGATTTTACACGATTTGCGTTGTTACTAAGACGACAACGATCGTATTAGAGGTATAACTACACAGATATTATAATTGAAACTTTAAATGACATACATATTGCAGATTAACTCCAGTATAAGCACTCTAAAAATGTCTCAGGTCGGATTGTTTTGACACAAATATCACTATTAAACGTTTTGAATAAAAAAAAGAGGATTTTACAAACATTTCCGTATTTTTTTATAGATAATATCTATATGCTCCTTAGATTTAAAAGGTGAAAGATGGTCCAACCAGATATTAAATAGGAAACTCGACTAAGTGACTAGTCGGTGCATAAAAAAGTAAAAAAAATATAAAAGGCACAAAAACATGAAGGAATCCCATTATATATATTACCGATTAATGGGACCTCTGGGTGTCTAGTGACAAGGGCACAATAGACCATAGTGGTGGTTTGACCTCACCTAACACCTGGTGGAATCTAGAATGGTACATCAGATCAGCAGTAGGTAGAGGATCACCCATCTCTTCATCTCAAAACGGAAAGTGGTAATGAAGACGAGCTTCCATATCAAAATCCATCTCCACTTGCACATTTCCAACCCAATAAACACATGATCCACCATGAACCAACATCCAGCGGATAGCAAGAAAGAGAAAAACCCTGGTTGGATGACCAAAACCTGGTGGCATTGAGTATGGTTCTTCCAGACCATGGTAGAAGGAGGATACCCAGCTGTATATAAGTGGGAATACATGTGCTGCATCTAGCTATAACCAACACCAGATCTGTCAGCATTATCTTGCATATATTATAATTAAAACCCATTTGCCATTTATTTGCCCAACTCACTAAATGATATCAATCCTTTTGTAAATCAGCAGCTTCACAGCTAGCAACACACAAGACCTTAATATCATCAGCAAATTTAAGTAATTTATTGATCATTCCTTCATCATTAAATCCAACAATTAATTGATTAACAAATAACACTAACAAGTCTTTTTTTTTATATTAGTTTTATTGATCTTGTGAAATTTTATTCTTTTGGGTGGGGAAGGAAAAGAGGTACAGGAACAAGACAAATAGTTATTCTTTTAAAATTTAAGATCAAGACACTTGTAAACAGATTATTTGATAAAATCTGCTAAAAAACTCAATATAGATATACAAGTTTACCTTAATGGAAACACATTCTTCTGTATTTGGTGGAAATTTCACAATGAATTTGCTTCCCGATTTCTCTTCTGAACTGTTAAGAGGCCGAATTCGACACACCACTTTGATACTGCATTCAGCTGGATTCTCAGTCATTTTCCAACTTTTTCTCTAAATATATAATACATAAAATGAGTTAATAAAGATAAATTCCAAATATTATAGTGTATACTTAGCTATCAGTTTACATTAAAAATACTGTAGTGTTGGTGGTATTGATAATGATACTTCGATAGGGTCTAGTCCTCTTACACTTCACTGTCTTCAGTCAAACTCTAGCATCTATTTACTTACTAATAATTTAGTTCTAAATCTAAGTACAACTTACATTTACAAGTAAAAGCAAAATACTTATTGTACATTAAATTAAGCCTAACCTAGCTAATAGTAACACTAAAAATTAATTATTATTAATCTGGCATAGGCTTATCAACGATTCAGCTCACTGTACGGTGTACATAGTTGAAATTAGGCTACTCACGTCTCTATTAGTATTAATCTGATGTAGCGATGAGGAAAGTGGTTGACGAGATTTGCTCTATATAGTATATTGTAAGTAACACTTAAGTTAAGCCTTAAGGCGTTGGAAGCTAGTCTTGAAAGTTGAAATTTATGGAATTCAACATGAAGAAAAATTCCTGTCAAGTATCAACTGCATAGTAACGCCAATGCGGATAGTGGTGAACTCCTAGATAAAACATGAAAAATGGAAGGTAAAAACCAGGAATATAACTATCAAATCAACTTTGAAACATAATATTAATGTATACCACAGTCTACCTTACTGTTACTAAAGTTTTCAGTAGATTTGTGGATCAAACAGTACCCACCCCGTCAATAGTTCAACACATGCGCTACAGTAAGGCATCCTGGGAAGTAAAATTACCAGAACCAAAACGTCATTAGACTTAATATATGAGACAACATATAGTTAGTTACCTGCAGTATAGAAAGTGTCGCATGCTCATAGCAGTGCCGTCTTGTAACATAAATAACGACATTAAAACTGATTTCAATTTTAATACAAAGATATTACTCATATTAGTAATCCTTATGATAAGCTTTGCTGACAGTTGTGTTTTTAATACAACGCTAAGAAATTTACAGTGAAATTCTTCTTTTCTATAGCCTTCATTTCTTCGGATTCATACATCTTAGTGTTCTCATATAAGAGCACTCCCGGGATTTCTTCGTGAGGGGTTGGGGGTGGCAAAGTCTAAAGCAAGTATATATATATAAAGGTGTATTTATATACAGATTGAAGAAAGAAAGAAATGTTTCTCATCTTCCAGGGGGGGAGTTCCCCTTATCCCCCAGCGGGATGGCACACGACGAGACACACGTTCGGCATGTAATGCTGTTTGAATGCAAGAAGGGAAACAACGCCTCACAAAGAATATCAAAGAAGTTTATGGAAATTTTTTGAACTTTTGTAAGTGTCAACGATGGTTCAGTGAA